AAGAATAAGTGAGCTCCTTGGAATGGTCCCTGATTCAATGGGACTGACTTTGTAGAAAAGAAGACTCTGGACCTAAAGGGGATGTGCACAGCAGGGAGGTGATGTGAAGACACAGGGATAGAGTGACACCGTCTCCAAGACTGGGACAGCAAGTGTTGCTGAAGTCACTGGCGCTGAGACAGCTGGACCCTTCTCCAGTGCTGCCGGGAGATGCTTGCTTCCGGGCTCCTGGCGTGTCCGGCTGGGAAAGGACCCTGTCTGCTGTCCGCATCCTCAGGTCGGTGGCTCGTGTGACCCCAGCCCTGGAGTTAAGTGGAGAACGTGAGGTCCTCTGGACTCTTGCCCAAACAGGAGCAGCTCCCTGCCCAGGAGCAAAGAGCACACAGTGGGCTGCGAAGGAGAGTATGTGTGTGGGGCTCAGAGATGGCCTGCTCTAGATAACTGAGACTTAAGCAAACTTCAGTGGGACCAATGGAGGGACTTCTTATGTCTGGATTGGCACAGATTTGGCCTGCTCAGGAATAAGAAATGTGAATTTAAGTGTCACCGTCTTGAACAGCTCAGCTCTTCTTGGGACCAATCATCAATGGCCCCACCTGCCCAGAGAGTGGGGTTCAAGGCCCAGGAAAGTTGTCCCTCTGCCCAGGGCTGCTGGATGTGGCAGCTGTCACAATGATCACCATTGTCACTGGGGCTGGAAAGAATGCTGCTCTGGATGCTGGCAGGCTGGGTCTATTTTTAGCAGCTGCCTGGCTGGCAGGAGGCTGGGGCTCAGACCCACGGCAGGGCACAGCCTCCACCTGCACCCCATCTGCTGCCTCCTGCCTCTCCAGCTTGCGTTCTTCTGCGGTCACTGGGAGTTGGGTCCTCTCCCACCTGTGCTGGGGACACCCTGAGAGGGTGGCAGCTGAGATCACGCCTTGCTCTAGCTCTGGAGCTGCTGGCCCAGACCTTGGGAGTCCGGGGCTGTCCAGCTCTGCTGGGACCTGTCCCTCCCTGTCCCTCCTGGTCTTATGATGGCTCAGGAACCAGGACACGGTGCTCAGCCCCCAGGAGGTGCTGGTTGAGCTGGTCAGCTGCTGGGATAGTGGCTGCGGTGTCAGAACTCCCAGGGTGGGGTTTGCCTTTGCGTTCTAGTGATCAGTGACTCTGAGCACTTTCCAGGGTTTCCCTCATCTGTCTTTGTGGCAATGGCTCTCTTTCTTTAATGGAGTGGGTCGTGGGAGATGTGTTCTTGACCCTACTTCTTCCTCTGGAAGGTGAAAAGAAACGTGGGAGCCAGGGAGGTGGTGTGATTTGCCCTTGGGTGCCTGGCAAACCGTGTGTCTGGAACAGGAACCCAGGCTCTGCTCTGCCGGGCGGCTCTTCTGCTCGGCAGGGAGGGAACATAAAAGCAAAGGTGGCTGAGCAGGATTTCTCTGTCCTCCGCGTTCCTAAGGAGAGAAGAAAGCTGATGGCCCTTGGCCTCGTCTAGGAGCCTCTGTGTCACGTCGTCACCGTGGACGTGGCAGAGGGAGCGGCCCACTCCCGGCTCTCTTGGACCAGGAGGCAGGAAGCCAACGAGACAGAGAGCGGGCCAGAGGTGTCCACCTGATGTCAGCAGATGGGCAGTGCTGGGGCCTCCTGGAATCCGTCTCCCTTTGTCCTCGTGGGTAGGATGTCCCTTTTGTCTGGGGAGCACTGTCCCCAGCCCCCGGGCCTAAGGATGTCTTTGTGGCACTGCTCGGGGGTCCTTAGGACACAGTGCGTCTGGCATGAGGCACACTGTTCTCCTGCTGCTTCTTCCTCTTCCAGCTACTGAGGATGTGGGTCCAAGCCCGGTGGCAAGGTGGCCGTCTTGTGACGTGGAAACCACCTGATGTGCACAGAGCAGAGCGGCAGAAGGAGCTTGGGGGCCTGCCAGGCGGTCCCAGTAGAGCACAGCAGTGCAGCTGGCTATGCCCTGGAGGGGCGCTGGTGCCTGGGCCCAGACATTGGTTGGTGATGCTTGGTGTGAGCCATGGAGGCAGCTGGAACCAAACTTCTTCCTGCGCAGCCCTGACTCACCCAGATGCCAGCTGATGCCAGGACGCCGAGGAGCTGAGACCCCAGGGAGAGGCTAAAAGGCAGTGAAAGCAGCACCTTGGCTGGAGCTTCCTCCCCCAGCCCGAAGGGCTCGGGAAGAGACCTGCTCCGCTGAAGGAGCCCAAGTGAGTACAGAGACCCTGAACCAAGGCAGAGCGAAAAGAAGAGCAAGTTAGCACCAAACCAAAACAAAAACAAAAGTGAGAAAATGTCCCCAATCTGCAAGACACAAACTGAAAGAGCTGACCAAGTTTCCAAACAGTTAAGTGTGAAGAGGTACAGGGGTGGGAGAGAGGAAACAGGACCCAGGTCCTTACAGAAGGAAAAGGATGGAAGAGAGGATGCCGAAAGTGGGGCTGCTTAGCTGTAAGGTGGGAAGCAGAAGGTAGTGGAGAAATGACTTGAACATTTTTTAAAAAATAATTTGCCTGGGATTCTTTCTTTCTAGAAAACATCAGTCCAATGCAAAGAGTGAAAGAAGATGTCTGGAGGTGTAGAAATCCTACCACATGTGCACCCTGCTGGGGGTTACTGGCTATGTGTGCCTCTGAGCAAGGAGATGACCTCAAGAGAAGGATGTGGGGCCCAGGAGCCCTGCGCAGGGGGACGGCACCCTCGTGGTGCTGAAGGGACTCCTCGGAGAGGTGTGGGTCGGCAGTTCACATGCGAACAGGATGGAGCACTCCAGAGAGGATTCTCCAAGGGAAGGAGAAACCAGACCAAAGTGAAAATAAAGATTGCTTGCTTGTCGGGCTGGACTCTGCTGAGAGGAGTTTACAGCTCTGTCAGAAAATGGGGAACAACTGATGAGCAGTGTGTAAGAGGGAAAGTCTAAGAGATGCCAACACAGTGTGAACCCCAGGAAAACCAGAGTCCCACAAATCATAAGATGAAAAAAAATAAGAAGGAAACATCAGCACAGTTTCCTAAGTGGCTTGCTGGGATGACATTATGGGGTCATGAGAAGATCTAAATGCAGAGTGGCTTTGCTCAGACCCTGTTGTAAGCTCCCTGGAAGAGGTGGGTAGGGTGAGGTACAGGGCACGGGCAGGGAGTGAACGTTGGTTGAGAAGTCCTGAGTGGTGCGGTCCTGTTACTTGACACCGAGGAAGTGCTGACCCAAGGGAACACCAAAGGCAGGCGACTCACAGGACAGCAGCTGGAGGCAGGAAGGGGTGTGGGGGTGGCTGTTCATTATTATTACTGGCCTCCCAAAATGACTAGGGGCACATACCTGGAATCCCAGCACTCCAGAGGCTGAGGCAGGCGGGTCGTTGCAAGTTTGAGACCAGCCTGGGCTTCAAAGTGAGCCCAAGGCCAGCCTGAGCTGCACAGTGAGACCCTGCAAAGATAGGACGTGGTACTGGAAGTCACAGGGAAGATTTCGCGGAGGGTAAATGTCACTGTGTTTTCTGTTGTGATGTATTTTAAGAAACGTGAACCTTCTCACATCCTGCATCTCTCTCTGGCCTGCTTCTGCTTCTAGAAGCTTCCTGCCAACCGACTCAGCTCTACTTTGCAGCTGACACTTGGAGGCTGATGCCACTGCTGTAGGGACAGCCTCCAAGGACAGCTGCAGCAGGGCCAGCATGCTCTGGATGTCAAGCCCATCACGATGCCCGAGTGCCTCTGTGGCCTCCCGTTGCGGGCCTGCAGGGGCAGCCGTCCGTCCAGTGAGCCAGGACCATTCTGTCCCCAGGTCCAGCTGTATAGTGCCAGGATCCATGCGCCCTGTTCATCTGAGAATGGCCAGCACTGGCCCAGGGCGGGCAGGAGGCACTGTGTGGCGGACCGGGAAGGAGGGACTTTTGCCCCTCCTGTCCCTGGGTGCTGGGGACAGGGAATGCTGGGGTGTGGTGTGGTGGGGTGGGGTGGGGGAGGTCTGGAGCTCCAATTTCTCAGCCTCTCAGAGCAGAGTGAGTCAGGAGCCTTTGTTGGATGAGGTCCCTTGGTGGGATTCACTGCCTCTGCAGAGCAGAGAGAGAGGGCCTGGGGTCCCTCCTGTCTGCAAGCCCTGCTCTCTGGATCTCTAGAAGAGTGGCACAGGGCCTTGCTGCCTGCCAGAGGTGACTGGCTCGTCCTGCCCCACGCCAGCTAGGCCAAGTTTGCCAGCTCTTCCAGTTTTTGAACGATCGAACTCTGCCTGGGGTGCCCTCCCCACCTTTACCTGCACAGTCCCCCGAGTGCCCCCAACTCAGGTCAGCACCTGTTTGCCGCACCCCCACCCCATCCTTCTTTCTCTTTGGAAGACAAGCTTTGCACAGACAGGGGATTCCATGATAGACACCTTGCCGCTGTCCCCTGGGCCATGGTGTCCACCTAGTGGGCCCCTGGCATCACGATTAGACAGAGCTGTGAAGGGCTTTCTTTCTCCTCCATCCACGTCTGAGGGCAGGGAGGGCTCGGAGCTCCTAATACGCCTTCAGGTCACTGTCTAGGCAGTTGGACGGTTGTCCCCCTCTGTAGACAGCCTGCCCACCCCAGCTTCTTCAGAGTTTCTGAAATGTCCTTGGCTTCCCGGGGCTCACACTCTTGCCCATGCTGTTTTCTATTTAAAGTTTGTATCAGTCCACATCTGTGGGGTGCAGTGACCACACCCATCTGGGGGCTGCTGGGAGCGCCCCTGGCCTCCTGCTCCTCACTCCCCCCTTGAGCTCTTTTCATTTTCCCTTTATTTCCACTTTGGCTTTCTCACACTAGAGAAGCCCTGTGATGTTTAACCTCGTGAGTCTAATTTATTTTACTCAACACTGTGGCCTGGGGTGCATCCGTTTCCCCACCAGTGGCTCAAGTGTGCCCTTATTTACTGCAGATAGTGCCACACTGTGTGACTGCCACACTTTCTCTACCCCTCTGGGTCACACAGGGCCATCTGATAACCCAGAGCCACACCCAGGGCCATAGCCTTATTAAGCCACACCTTGCAAGGGCCCTGTTGTCACGCAAGGGGACACAGTCACTGCTCCCAGTGACTAGGATGTGGACGTCATTGGGAGACCATTACACTGACCACAGGTAAGGGGAAGAGACAAGGCCGCTGTTGGGGGACTCATGGGACAAGGTGTCCATGGAACCTGGCGTCTGATGCTGCCCAGGATGGGGATTTGGGGCAAGGGGGTGCCAGCTGCGTCCTGTGATGGAAGAGAGCCAAGGTCCGAATGCAGGAACAAGTTTTCTAGAACCAGGTACAGACATAAGGGCACCGTCCTGGGGTAGCAGAGGAAACCTTGTCCCCCAGTGCTGCACCCCCGGCAAGTCTAGGTCAAAGGTGGACCAGAGCAAGGCAGGGTGCCATCCGCAAGGTGTGAGGCCCTGTCCCCTGGCCTGTGGCTTCCTGCCTTGGTGGCCTTGAGCTGGTACAGATGGACTCAGGGCCACACAGCCAGATACCTTCAAGGCCTGACAGGAAAGATGTCAAGTGTTTAAAATTCAAAAAATTATAACAGTACGGGGCACATTGCCAAGAATCTTTCTCAAAATCCTCCCCTTCAAGCGCACTGGTCCCATGGTCCTGGCCACTTTCTGCAGCAGCTCTGGAGTCCTCCTTCCTGAGTGTTGTCCGGAGGTGTGACCAGAACTGCAGTGGCTGCTGCTGAGGGCCACCCAGTGGAGACACAGTTCCTGAAACCCTGATACTGGGTCCTCCTGGGTCACCGGATCTGGCACCGTGCGACTCCCGGCTCCTCCCCAAAGCCAAAATGGCCATGAAAAGGCAGTGTTTTGAATCTATTCAGGACACTCAGGCAGGCAGGATAGCGCCACTAAAGACGCTCAGGAGAGAGAGCTCCAGAGCTGCTGCAGAAGTAACAGGGACAGTGGGACAAGTGTTCCGAGCCGGGTAGATTTTGAGGGGGATTCACAGCACCGTGTCTTTTATGTAATAAATTTATAAGTTAAACACACACTGCACTTTCTGTTCACACTTCCAGTTGGTAAGAGAGGGTTCCCACGGGCCAGGCGTGGGCAGCACAGCCAGCTTGGAGGGCAGAAGCAACCTGCACAGGTCAGGTGTCCTTCTCCTTGCTGTTTTCCTCCTGTTTCTGTCCTCTTCCCCATGGAAACTGAGTTCTGGTCTTTCCCAGACTGGCCGCCTGGCACAGCTTCGGCAGGGTTGCCCGGTGCTGCGGGCCTGGGTGTGGGAGCAGCTGCCGAGGCTGGAGAGGAGTGTGCTCTGTTCCCACAGCATGCCTCCCTGGTGGACTCCTCGCAGGGCACAGGCCCAGTGGTCCCCTCAGGGGTGGTTAGACCCAGGCAGGCAAAGTGCAGTGACCCTGAAAGCAGTAGGGAATACCCTCATCCCACAGAAGGGGGTTGTTATGGTTGATACACTGTGTCAACTTGAGAAGTTTAACCCAGTGACTCAGCAGGGAGCCAGGATCCTCACTTTGCAAACATCCTGAGCCCCATGCAAGAGGAGGGCAGAGGTGTGTGAGTGTTACACCCACCCTGCGCCCTGCAGGGCAAGGGGTGGCCTGCTTACAGTATGAGGGAGGAGAAGATGCTTGCTGCCCGCCCCGATTTTGCTCTGGCTGCTTTTGCTGTCTTCTGTCACCTTGAAGTGTTGCCCTGGTGCTGTGCCAGGCCACTCTGCCTTGGAGTCAGCTGATGATGGACTGAAACCTCCACAAACTGTGAGCTAAATAAACCTTTTCTTCCTTCATTTTGGGCGTTGGTATTTTGCCTCAGTGCGGAGAGAAAAGTGACTGGTCTTTAGATAGCTGCTGTCATCTCGGGGCTCACAGTCATCACCATCCCTGCCTCCGGCTCTGGGACAGAGGACGCCACCACCCTCTGCTCCCCAGCTCTTCTGGGATCCGGTGTGGCCTCACACTTAAGATTCTTGGTTAACACCTTTGAGAAATATGAAGGACAGAGCTGCTCCTGCAGGGCCAGGCGGCTCCTGGTGTCCCAGTGGCTCCTTCCAACTAGAGACTGGTGGCCTTTGGATGTCACCAGTCATCTTTTCTTTGTTTTCTGGCTTCCTCTGAAAATTCATTATCTAATGACATTTACCAATCAGGAGATAGAAAGACAGAGAGACAGAGACACAGAGAGATACATAGAGAGAGCAGGCTCCCACATGAACCTTGATGCTGTGGCAGTGGACACTCTCCCCCAGGCCACCAGTGACCCCAGTCCTACTGTCCCTGCAGGACACTGCCCGGTCTGACTGCCTGACTGCATCTGGATTTTTGAGACAACTGGGAGCCTTCAAAATCTTGAAACCCAGCAGGTGCAGGCAAGTTTTCTTGATAACTCATGGCCCGAGAATCAGTGCTGCTGTGGCTCCTTTGGTGGCGTTTGGGACCTGGGCTGGCTATGATGCTGCTGCTGACAGCTCTGGGAGCACAGTTCTGGGGAGAGTGACAGGAGCATGACAGGAGGGGTGGACGCAAGCAAGGTGCCTGCTGCCCTGCTGAAGGTGTGAGCAGCCTGTGCCTGCTGGGTCCCAGTTAAGCAACAACTGTCATGTGGCTTTGCAGGTGATGGTTCCGGCACACAGCATTGCAGGATGCAGCCCCAGGGATTCTGGGCCCAGGGTCCCAGACATAGCCTGCACTTGTGACGCCTGGTCCCAAGGGTTCCCAACACTTCTGGGTCTGCACTGGGCAGTGGCTGGCCAGCCCCGAGCACCAGGGGTGGTTCCTGGGCACCTGTGGCCAGGTTCTGTGAGTCTGATTCAGCCGGGAGCCCTGGGCTCAGTCCCGTGGGTGGGTCTCAGGACCCATGCTGTATGGCAAACAGGTGGCCCCTGATCTACGACCGCTCCACTCACCACTGTTTGACTTTACAGCGATGCGAACACCATATGTACCTGGCAGAAACTGCGCTTTGAATTTTGGACTCAGGTTTTTTCCTGGGCTGGACACGTGTGTTCCAGTCCTCTCTCAGAGTGCAAGGCTGTAGCAGAGACCACAGGCTCTGGTCAGCCCGGGATCACAAGGGAGACCATGTGTGTGTGGCGTGGGTGACCCACAGTGTGTGGGTAGCTGCGCTGTCCTCCCACAGTGGCTTTATCTTTTTATCTCCAGTCCGGGGTGGGAACCCAGACCTCTGCACGTGCCTGGCACCTGCTCTGACTCTGAGCTGCGCCGCTGCTTGGACGGTGCGTGAGGCTGTGACGTCCTTCCCCACCAGCTCTTGCACAGCCGTTATGGCTGTCATGCACTGGAGTGTCTGCCCTGCTGACCCTCTGTGAGTGACGCAGCCAAGGCGGGATCTGTGGTGCACCTTGGACCCTGGCAGAGGCCTCCCTCCTCCCTTGTCTCCCCTGGCCTCCATCTGGAGGGGCCGTCTGTTGGTCCTCCCACCCTGGCTGCTGCCCAGCCTGCTCCCCGGCATTCCTTTGAACTGATGCTTGGGGAGAAGCCTCCTCGGAAGCGGGTGGTGCCCCGACAGGCAGGAGCTGCCCGCCTAGGTTTGCTCAGCAAGCAGGGAGCGGTGTTTCCTACACTGGACAAAAAGGATTTGGGCCGCAGGGCCATGACACTGCCACTGGTGTTCAGAGCAGAGCTGGGGGACCCTGGGCAGAGAGGCTCCTCAGGGCTCAGTGTGGAAGGCAGCTCAGGCACTGACCTGGTCACCCTGTTTGTCCTGCCCTGGGGTTGGGATGATTGGGCAGGAGATGGCCCGGCCCGGTCTGTTTTGCAGGCGAACAGATGACTGCTCCCTGGGCTGGAAGCAAACATTTCCCGCCTGAGTCTGACTGCCCCTTTCCCGGCACCTTCCTCAGGAGGGACACGGGGCAGCAGATGTCTGACTTCCCTCTCCTTCCTTTCCCCACTCTTCCTGGGCCTACCTGAGGGCGGTCTGGAAGGTGCCCAGCCTGCACCCGGCTGGCTGAGTGAGGAGGAGGGCACGGAGATGTGTGGGGGCTAATTCTATCTTTTGAGTTCTGAGCCGTTCTCCTGCTCCCCAAATTGCAATGTGCAAGACAGTCCCCAGCCCCCTTTGTCCAAGGACCTCCAGCCAGCGCGTCAGCCACCCACGCTGGAGGCCACTACCTGGGCTGCTTCTGGGTCCCCTGTCTGCCTGGTGCACTGCTTTTGTGTCTGGGTGACCCTGACCGACCCTGGTCTCAGAGGCGTAGCTGGGAGAGGATGGGTTGCCGAGCCCCCTCGGGCTCCGCTGGGCTCTACAGCCAGGTCCCAGCTGGCAGACGCTGCCTGTGTGCAGAATGGAGCTCTGGCCTCAGCGTCTGGGAAGCATGTTGCACGAGAGCTCAGGGACCGACACTGCTCAGGAGCATGGGCGTGAGGCCAGACGCCCTGCTGGACTCGCTTCCTTCCTTCCTTCCTCCCTCCCTCCCTTCCTCCCTTCCTCCCTCCTTCCCTCCCTCCTTTCCTTTGTTCCTATGGTCCTCTTTAGTCCTGGAGATTGGACCCAGGGTCCTCTCCCTGTGCCACCTCCCCAGGCTTTCACATAATTATGTTGAGACAGAGTCTGTCCTCAAAGGTCTTCTTGCCTCAGCCTCCCAGAGTGCTGCGATTACAGGTCTTTTCTCTACCACCATGCCTGGCTGACTCATTTCCTACAGCATGCAGTGCCCCCATGGGTGTCTGTGTTGTAGTACCATGGGCGGGGCAGCCCCCATATAATAGAACTTTTTATAATAGAGCTGAGTCTACAAGGTGGCCCCAGCAGGGTCAGGGTCAGGGTCCAGCAAGGGCTTCCGGGGGCAGCGCTGGCACCTTGAGCTACAACCTGTCCTGGTAGAGGAGGTGCTTTGGTGTCTTCAGCCCCTGCTGAGGGGGCCAATCCCCTTCCCAAGGGACCGCCCCCCCTCAGGACCTGCGCATCAGGGTGGGGATGAGGCCAGAGGGAGGGGTGTGCACTTCGCACCCCAGTAATGAGTTTAGACTGCCGTAGACGTAAGTGCTGGTGTCTCCTTTCTCCCGTCCTCCTCCATGCAGGCTCTAGGAAAGGAGTTAGGCCCTGGATCAGAGCACGCATCCAGAAAGGGTACCCAGGGGCCAGCTCAGGACAGGGAAACCCAGTGCTGTCCCAAGAACCGGGGCGCGGCTGCCCTGGAGATGGCATTGCACCCCCGGGCTCCTGGGTTACACAACAGGGATGGCAGTAAACTCCTGTTTTCCTCTCCTTTGGGGAAAGAGCCCTGGTGCGGCTGAGCTGGGAGTTCTGTGCAGAGAAAGTTCTGTGCCATGGTGAAAGTAAGACCAAGTCCATGCCCATGCCCAACTGCCAGCCTCTGATGGCAGCCTGGGACAGAGGGGACAGGGAGGAACCCCTCTTGTGGGAAGCCTGGGAGGGTAGAATGGTGGCCTTGGGTGTGGGGAAAGCAGAGGGCCCCATCGGGAGGGGAGAGCGGGGTGGGTGAGGAGCAGGAGCCCCCTTCCACTCCCACTGCTCACAGTTCTCTGGGCCTGGGCACCCTAAGCCTGCCTCTGTCTGCGCCCCACCTCCATTTCTAATGCCCAGGTAGCCAGGACTGTGCCCCAGACTGTGGTGGCTGCAGATGTATATACAGGTGTCCTAGAGACAGGAGGGAGCGGACCTAGGGGCAGCCTGTGGTTGCAAGAAGTCCCGGGAAGTCTTGGGGACACTAAGCAGCTGAGCAGTGCAGGACGGGGGCTGCTGTGCAGGGCTCAAGGCAGGGAAGGGGCGTGGAAGGTGCTGGGGTTCCAAGCAGGCTGCACCCCTAGGAAGGCCTGGGGTGTCCCACCAGGACTAGGGAGACGGGGTCAGCTGTAGAAGACTGGGCATCCCTGCAGGCAGTGACTGTGGGAACAGCACAAAGACAGACTAGGAAGGACCATGAGGGAGACAGAAACGCCCCAGAAGGAAGCAGGCCAGGCCTGGCCGGGGCCTGCAGCACCCACCCCTGCACGGGCCACAGCCTCTGCCTCCCAGCTCCCTGATGTGCCCCATATGGCGAAAAGGACTTGGCCGGTGCAACCAGGCTAAGGACAATGAGGCAGGAGGTGGCTCATGGTTATCTGGGGGGCCTGGTGTCCTTGTAAGTGGGAGCAAAGGGACATTGGTCACAGGGAGTGAGGTAGGATGACCATGGACAGAAACAGAGCCAGCATCCAGGGGCTGGAGGAGAGGGGGACCTCGACTGCCCGGCACACTCGGGGGCTGGGGCCCACGCCTCTCTCGAAAGCACCCAGCGCTCCCTGCTTTGGCCCAGCTTTGCAGCAGCTGCTGGACCTTTGCACCCCTGGGGCCTCTGGAGCTGACCGATGTCTGCCACCCGCCTTCTCCTGCACTTTGCACCTCTGTGCGCAGCGCTGCTCTCTAGTGAATGTCTTTATTTTTTGCAAACTGTCACTAGTTCTCCCAGGGTTCTGTGTTTCCTTGTTTGTACTTGTCCATGCCAAAGAGAAGACTCTCACGCCCGCCTCTCAACAGGTTGTATTTACCGGATCCTCCAACTCACCGCCCAGGAATTTGTGTCTACACTGCCAGCTCTGGGGCGCCCGCCTGGCCCCGCCCCACCCTCCCATCCCAGCCTAGCACAAGAAAAACAACCGCAGGGACAGGGCCTCCCCTCCAGTGACTCCTGTGTCCTCTGCCAGTCTTTTCCCAGGTTCAAGGTCCAAAGCTTGGACCTTGACTCTGAAGTCAGGTGGAAGAAATAAAGCCGGGGAGAAGCAGACTGGGAGATTCAGCTTTAAAAATGTACCTTTTGTTTTTGAGCTTCAGTTTACATTTTTTTCTCTCCCAGGCTACTCACCCCTAAATTCCTAAGTCTTCGCATTGTGTAGTAGGTGTGGCCCGGGCCCTTCTGCTGTACAGTGGCCCTTCCTCTGGACGTGCTTGCTTGCCAGACCTGTAAACTGAGCCACACTCTTCTCCCCTTACTACGGATTCACAAACTGCAGCTCTCCACCTGGAAGCACCCCCAGGCCACGCAACCCCAGCCCCAGCCCCAGACCACAGGGTGCCTCTCCTTTCAGGGTCCATAGCTGTACTCCGACTCTGCCCGACCATCTTCTTTTTCACCTTTTATTTTGTGAGACAGGACCTTGGCTGGGCTTGCACTGGGGATCCTTCTGCTCCAGCCTCCCCGAGTGCTGGGATGACAGGCATGGGCCACCTCAGGAAGCTCTCATAAACCTTTCTGTGCCTCTTTCTGAAGAGTCCTGAAAGCTCTTTTTCTGTGGCAGGAGTCAGGGCACCTGTTCCGGGCGTGAGAATTGAGGTCTCCAGTCTTCCTGTTCCTCCCCCGGAGAGAGGAAGTCAGCCAGGTGGGAAGGGGGCAGGGCGGTCCAGGTTC